GTGGTCGATAATTACAAACCAAACCATGATTACATGATTGCCACGGAAGGAGAGGAAAAATAACATCGTATACAGATATATAGTAGAGGGACAGTTTAAAATAGCAATTATACTTGGTTAGAACGTTAACCCACACAATTCCAAGCTTAATTAAATTGTGTAATGATTAAATTTTACCAATTTACCCCCATCCTATTATAGTGACAAAATGAACCAAGGCTAAACGTCTATTATATATTGAAAATCATGAGTTATTTTTACTAAAAGCTTTTGCTTGATTAATTCATATTCGTGTTATTTAAAATTTCATCTCTTTTTCCTTAATTTTTACAATTAATATATTGCAGTGATAAGTAATTAAAAAATTCAAAAGCCTCTTAAATAATTTGAAAAAAATATTTTTTTTTTAATGTTTTAAAATTTTGATGAGACAAGTCAAACGTTATTAAACTTTAATTGTGAAAATAACAATAGAAATTCGTTCAATTTTTATCAGAAATGTAACACATGCTAATGAATATTATTATTATTAATAACATTTTTATAACATAAATTTTACGATATGTCTATAATATAAATAGTGTAATTTATCTATACATTATTTTATGTGTATCATTTTATAAAAATATTTTTTTGTTGTAAATGTGTGTGTGTGTGTGTGTTTATTACCCGCCTACTTTTTGTATTACTTACTAAATATAACGTAATTATTTTAATCGTTATATCTACAAAATAGTAACTTTTTTAAATTTCATTCAACTATATTGTATTAATAATTATGTTTTTATCCCATTATCCACACAAAAACATATTTTATGTTTATAAATATATATTAAAATGAATATTGAAAATCATTCGATCAGATGAAGTCTTGGTCTTTTACCTACCTTATTAATTTGGGATTGAATGCAATTATATTATTAACATTGATAATAAATACCTATAAAATACACCGTATATTATGTTAGAAATTTGAATATAAATATTAAAATATCCGAAACTTTTTGATTTTTAAATAATGTATTAGATAACTTTTAATTTACAATTAATCTAAAAAAAAAAACAGATTTTATTAATTTTTCGAATTAAGTTACCTAAGTTACTATAAGATAAGACGAAAGTTATTCGATTAATCGGTGAAAATTCATATTTTTAGGAGTGGAGGACAGTGACCGACCGCGCCAAGTACCTACATCGTGGGTCAATGATCTGCCTCCGTGTTCCGTTACTATAATATTATTATTGCTGTGTTGCTATATCATCGCGACAACGGTTGCTTTGTTTTTTTTTTTTACTATACGTTTAGTCGGAAGAGGTTTTTTCATTCTTTATATTTTTTTCATATACAAGTCTATGAAAAATAATAATAATAATAATAAAGAATTGATTAATAAAAACCATATCCGGGTTGACAACTTCTTGACATCGGCAATGAAAAGAGTTAAGTAAAGAAATTGTCGTATAGTGAAAATCTTGGTTGATTTGTACTGGAACGCACGATTCTAAAATCTATAACATACTACAGAATCGTCGCTATTTATGGGAATTGTATACTTCCTTTTAAAACGAAATGATTGTCACTAACCCGATCTAATAAATCAAAACTAAAAACAAGAAATTAATTTAACATTTTTTATTAAAATTTTATAATATTTCCCAACATATTAACTTAAATATTAAATATATTAATTTAAGATATAAATTTATTCTTGTTTGATTTTAAATAAAATTAAAAATATTTTCTAAAAATTAAATATATCGTAATGTGTTAATAATAAATAATTAATACATAAATAAAATTATTATTGTACAATTAAATACAATTTGTGTATTAAGATTTTAGATATTTTAAAAATAATTCTTACATTTTATAAATATATTTCTTGACCTATTTTGTATAAATTACAGTGCCCATGGACCATTCAAACATAAGCTAATTTAAACAAGAAGTTATAATAGAATTTTCATTACGCTACTATTTGAAAGTTTAGAGTATAGTAATTACTTGTGAAACGCCTAGTAAATTTAGTGCTATAACTATAATTTAGATAAGTAATTAATATTATGCATCAATTATTGTTGTACGCAAGTATATAATAGAAAAATGAAATATCAACAAACCCTATTGGATTGTGCGTAGTAATCAAAATTGCAGTTAGATTTAGTGCATACATTATATATTCAGAATTTAATTATTTAAGACAAAGAATACTTAATATGATTAAAAATAATTCATTAAATAATATAAATTAAAAAGAAATTATTTATACATAGAATAAAAGTTGAAAAAAATATAGTTTAGTTTGAATACTTTAACTTAAAATTTGATAGGTAGATACATGAAACTTTGTTTACAAAATAAAAATAATTCTTAAGTTGAAAACATTTTTATTATAGTTACATTTGATACCTATCCACTGTTGGTTTCAAGGAATTTGAAGATATTTTTTAAGTGAAATAAAAAAATTATTATATAAATTTAAGTAATGCAATGTTTATGTTAAACTTTATATTTAAATCAGTTATTCAATTTCAATTCGGATTACATTGATATCTCAAAATAATTAAATATTTTAGCTAATATAGGACATATACTCGTATTTATCACTATCCACTGCAATAAATAATGTAAAATTATACAACAATGATTACCGTGAATTTATATAATATAGAATTTCAAGTTTATTAAAGTATGAAATTTGTTGTATTTTACTCGTGTAAATACTGTTTCTATACAACCTAACACGTGAAGCTGAACAAGTATGAGCAAGCAGTCTACAAATAATTTAGTAACTTTATATTACACTAAAATTATTACTAAGAACTATCACAATAATATTTATTATTAATTTTGTATACTTGTTTTAAACATAATTGGTTTAATTTGCAGAAAATAAAATTTTAAAATGGCCGTTTCGTCAAAAGTTTACAACCATTATTTAAAACAAATTGTTTATTATTATATATTTTACATATATATTATATATATATATTAAATCAATAAAATTAAATTAAAAAATTTAATTGCCGTGTTAAGACAAAATATACGGTATACAAAAATATAAATTAAACTGTTTACTTTATTTTGTATAATTTTTCTAATGAAATATATACTCTATTTACTATTGTTAGGATAAATATTTTGAAATTAACTCAATACGTATATCACATAAATTAAAACAGACAATTTCTATTTTATCGTTGTAGACAAAATATCTATTGTACATATTTTAACAATAATATGTTAAGTATGAATAGGTACTTCGGAGAAATTCATTCTAATAAGGTTCGACTATTAAGAATGTAAAATTGTGTGAGATTTCTGACAAAAAGTGTTAAATGGATCTCTATTATAATACAACCTAGAGTAAGTAGTTTTTTAAAGTAAAAATTGCAGAATTTAACAAAAACAATCAGTTATATTTACTATTGAACCAATTATTAATAAACTACAACTTATACAATATTATTGCATACTCCTACATTATAATAATTTATAAATAGATGTAATTTAAATGATATAAGTTATAAAAACATAAAATATAAGTTATATAGGAGAAAAATCATTGGTAATTCTGACCTTAGTTGGGTATACGTATGTTTTTTATTCTTAAGTCTATAGTGACCACTGAACCATTGCATAGATGTAAAAAAAAAAAAATAATAGAAAAATTATCTCAAGTAAATTATTATTTTATATGATGTAAAAAACTAACTATCATAGTATGTAGATTGATGAACCCGTAAACGTATGTATTTGCTGAATAGTACCTATAACTGTACTATCACGCGTATATATATAGTGCCAGATGATCCGTTACATACTTCATCGGGCGAATGGCGCAGAACAGCAGAAAGATCAAGTAGTGCGTCAGGGGAAACAGAGTGGTAGGTATAAATAAATGTAAAGTGAGATAGAGTAAGCGAGACAGAATAAAAGAAGCCTGTACGGTATAGAGGGAGTGAGAGCATGACAACGCACAGGAATATACGATCAATGTCTCGCAGACGCACCAGCACCAGTTTCTCGGGCGGTGGGGTGGTACAGGCTAGCAAGAGAGCGGAGGGTTAAGCTGCGCTATCAAAATTTAAGGTTTATGAGTCAATTGTGTGATGTCGGTGATTAACCTGTTACCGTCAAATAAGTACTACCTGTTCCGGTAACGGAACTTCCCTACAGTGGTGCTTCCGCCGTGCTGCTGCTCAATAAATATTACATATGCCTAACTGTGCAGTTGATACGCTAAGTCATTATTGTTATTTAATTCTGTATATACATAAATAGATAGATATAACTACCTAGTATATACATACAACTAAAGTTAAGCTAAGCACTGTACTATTTTCCAAACAAACGTCTAAAACTCCGATAACCCTTCGTGTTGGTATATATATAATTTATATACATATGTGGTCCACCACACAATATAATAATATACATACGCCTATATTATATTATCATAATTTTTGTTGAACGCATAAGGCGTAAAATGTCATTCAACTTCTATTCCATCGAATTATCAAAACGAATAAACCGTTAGCGAGCTACTCAAGTCAACAACTGCAGATAACGAAAAATTTTAAACATTTCACGTATATTTAAATATTTGTAACAGTTTCTTAAATATTAGATAATATATATACCAAGATCATTCGTTGAATTTATCAAATATTTGTGTAATTCAGAATGAAACTAATCAAAAATCTAAACAATATTTTACTATTGTTATAATATTTCAGTTTTTTTTTTTGTTTTTGTTTACAAAACAAGTGTAAATTATACGTGAAACGAAGTCAGAAAATAGTAAGTTATTCATTATTCGAAATAATATACTACTCTGTATCTCATATTATAGTATAATAAATAGGTAATTGATTTGTGGAAAAGTCTCAAACACAGAAACTCGTAGGATTTCGCAAGTATTATATAACAAATAATTACCTATTAAATTTAGTTACCGTCAAAATGAGGAAAACTGTATTAATATTAATTAACTTACCTAATTATGCTTTCAGTAGTTGTGACCCTAAGTCCTTTGGTTCGGTGTTCCTTCATAACTAAAATAACAAACAATTCAAATTTAAATATACCTATGTATATACATTTTTATAGTCATAAACTTATAACTTATTAATAATTTTTATGTATTTAATTTGTATTGATATTTTAATATAGGTACTAAATATTGTCAAATTAAAAAAAAAAAAAAAATTAAGCATTATGAACATTTGTATTTTGTAAGTACATACCAATTGTATCAATAGTTAAGTATCTAACGTTAGGTATACGCATTTTATCTTTATTATTAGGTAATGGAGTAACGACCGAAAAAATTGAGTTGAATGAACCTATAGTAAAATGAATAGAAGCTCTATGTGCTCGCCTAGTTTTTCTTTTATTAATAACCTAAACAATGTTTTTAATCAATTAATTAAATCACAACATTACCTACATACAGTTGAAGATATATTATTGAAAATTTAATTTTAAAAAATGTATATTTTGAAACATTTTATACTATAAAATTTAAATTTTATTATTCAAAAAAATATTTTTGTATAATTTTCTTAAACTTACATCAAAATTTGAAATAATCGATATTTAAATTAGTTACTGAAGTAAATAAATATTTTAAGAACCAAGTTTCATATAATTTAGTTATTTTTTAAGTAAGTAGGTATATTTTAATATATATATATATATAGTAGGTATTATTAATAATTATTATAAAATTAGTATTTTGGCTAATCAAATAAAATACATTAGAAAAATAAAATTTATTTTTAAATTTTTTACAAATTGATTTATATATTAAAAATTAACTTACAAAAATAATCTAAATGTAATTAAAAAAAAACCTAAATTTGTTTTTCAATCTTTGAATATAATTTATAAATTTTAATCAAAAATTATATCTCTGGGTAAGAAAATACAAATTAGTTTAAATTTAAATTTAATAAAGATGGTTATTATTAAATTAATTAATATAATATAACTATTAGCTATTACCAGTATATTGTATTATTGACTATTGTGTATTACAACCATCCATAATTTTATGGAATTTATTTAAGTTCAAGTATAATTGGAAATTATTTTGTACTAACCGGAGAAGAGACGATACCATTTGCGTGCACCTTAAGTCCTTAATTTCGATTACACCTAAATAAAAATATAAGTGGAGAAAAAATAAACGAATTGAAAATATGGTACAAGTGTAAGCAAACCGAAAACACTTCACTTGAAACGTTATCACAATATATGGTTAATTGACATCCGGGACAACACAGTCGAACGGCGAGCTACGATGCACTGCGATCAGTTGAGTTCGCGCGCGCGGTCATCGGCTCGATTGGATTTCGCAGATTCGCTGGCGCAAGTGTGCCTACACTACAGCGCGCCAATAGACAGTATGACCACGTCAGGTTAAGCCCGCGCAAAGGAGAATCTGCAACACAACTGTTACAATGTATCACCGTAATAAATTCCTATAGACTATAGAAATAAAATATATAGTATTATACAAATTAATAATTATATATTATACTTACAAACTAAAATCTTATGTAATGTAGAAAATTGAAAACTCGTATAGAATATATTTTTTATATACATTTAATATAATACGAGTAAAAGAATATAACTTGATCCAGTAATGGTAAAGTATGTTGATTTTTGCTTAATACTATACATTAATTATATAAATATATTATATGTTTATATTTAAAATAATGTATTACAATGTTGTGAGGTATAATATATAAAAGAACACTAACGTTTATCTTAAAATTATAAATGTATCGCTTCGTATGACGTATATGTATAAATATACAATAGGATCCCATTGAAGTGTCTATAGTCACGCTATGCATAGTGTATATTTATATTATTTCGAAAAGTTGTACGAATGTTATACAACAACATTATTAAACAAAATATAATTTTTTAAAGTTTTATAATACTTTTTTTAACAATGAGTAATGAAAAAAATTATAAAAATCGCAAATCATATTTTAATTTATAAAATTACAGTTAAATTACAATTACTTAAAGTTTTAAATTAAATACAAGATTCTTATTATAATTTTTTTTTACCGAAATCAAAAAATAAAAGATTATCGCGTATACGTATAATCACATTAATTTTTTATGAGTGTTTATGATTTAAAGTTTAAATATTGTTAGATATCCAAATATACTTTATGTAGACTTTTCCGAAAATAATGTCTGTTTTTTTGTTGTAATTCAAAATATATTAATTGTAAAATTTTCAATATTTTTAATATTTTCAATATATTACGACAAATTTTAAATAGTTTACAAGTATAATTTAAATATTCGAATAGTTTTAGTTCTTTTTTTTTTTTGTTGTTTAATAGAATGATTCAAATATTTTATTGAAACTTTAAGGCATTTTTAATACTGTTTTTAGTTATATGCAATGGAATTTTCATAATATTTAGTCTAAAATTAAGCTATATTTATAAAATGATCATATTCATCACACCGTTCTAAAGTTGGTACGCCATTATTTACTTTTGAAGTTATGTGTAAATAAAAATAATAGGAGACATTATTACAATAATTACTATGTTTTTGTCAACAATTATTTCAACATAGGTACCTATTATTTACTGTATTACTCTAGGGCGCGTCTAAACATTTTCTGGAGGGTTCATTATTTTTACTAACACGCATTTCAAGTTAATTTCAAATGTATACAAATATTAAGCACTACTTTTTTACTAAATTCGTTAAAATTTCGGGGGTAGGGGGTGAACATCTTTACCTAAGGCACGTCCCTAGTATTACTAATATATAAAAAAAAAACTACTCACGATCGTTTTTCATAAGTAATGATTTATCATTTTTTATTCAAATTTAAAATATCCATTACATGATTTACTCATTGACGACTCGTCATTACCGGGTTACTTTTTGAATCTCTATATATATTATATATATTATATAAGCAATTATATACATATTTAAAATTATTTCCCCAGATATTGTTTTTTGATTAAGAGTTAATTTTCACTATTTTCACTATTTTTAAGTTAAAAACTCACCATTTTTATTTAATTTTGACACAGCACCAAAAAGTAATTATTGAAATATCATTTTATATTTTGTACTAATTAAAATCTATCAAATTATTAACAACAGTTTGAAGGTTAAACATTTAAACTCGATTAACTTAAATAAATATTCCTTAAACTTTAAGCAGCTTAGTCAAATAGTTAATATATATTTAATTAATGCATTAATATATTTGATTATACTTTTAACAACCGGTAGCTTCATATACAATTTCATGACTATAATATTATAATTTATACAACTAAGTCCAAAGTTCACCAAATTGAAAAAATTTACAAAAGCCAACATTTTTATAGAGTCGCAATAAATCATTAAGCTTCTTGAAATTTCTAGTTTGTATGCTATCATTAATCTATTTAAATATAAGTTAACGCAGTCGTGATTATGTATTAATTATTAAATATAGGTATAGAAGTGTATAGTGTATGTCTACACTGTATCAAAGAATATCTACATAGATATACAAAATACTCATGAAAATAAAAAATAAATTTATTTTTTAACATTTTTATATTATTATTAGGTAGTTTTATATAATATACAATTATAACTGTCATGTGTAGTACACATAATTTTAAATCTATAGGAGAATTGTATTTAAAACAAAAAATCGTAATATTTCATTATCATGACAATATATTTCTCTTTTATAAGTGATCTAATTAAATCAGTAGAGAGAAAAGTGCAGAGCATAGGCGTACTCAAGAATTTTTCAAAGGGGAGTGGAGATCCAAATGTAAAAAGTATAAAACAAATTATGTGATTAAAAAAACAACACATTTTGATTCATAAACTTTTTAATTTGTAAAAGAAATAAGAATAAAATAAGTAAATTAAAATTAGAATTAAGCAATGAGTAAGAATACAATAAGAATTTTAAATTCTTTAAATCAATAGTGAGGGGAAGGGTGTCCAGATTTGGACCCCTCTTGGATATACCCCTGATATATATTTGAACTTATTTTCATTAAAAATCTTCTATGGCCTGCTAAAAATAAAACAAAAATGCCCCATTCTTGTTTCAGATCCAATGTAAGTAATCAAATCATCATCATAACAATTATAAAACTTAATGATTTCTCATCAAAATATTAAAAAGAAAATAATTTTTCCTCTAAAATATATTTTTAGTTGTTTAGATATTAAATCTCATTTTCTACATACAACGGGAGTATACAATAACTAATGGTTGACGACTGACTACTGACTAGTATACTTTTCTGACCTGGCAATGATTATTAAGTGACTTGCTAACATTTTCGAACCAATGTACCATTATACTAATCCTACCAAAGTTATTATTTTTAATTTGCAGTCTTATTTTAAACATCGCTTTATTGCTTACCTATTCGTCTTACAAATTATAATTAGAATGTATTAGGTACCGTAAAAATAACTATAATAGGAACTAAATAAATATAATATCTATATTAAGAGTATTAAGACTGTATAGTCTATTATACGAATAGTAGGCTAATGTAAAAATATAACATTCTTGAATTTTGAAATACATTTATATTGCGTCCGGGTTTTTTACAGTGGTATATTTTAACAATGTTATTAAAATACACGATGTACAAAAGTTTTCCATACATGCGTGCCATGATATAAATGGGAGTGTTTTACAATATATCAATCATATATGTATATGTATAATATATTTGTTCCTCATAAAATTAAAAAAAAATCATACCTAATAATTATATTATTGTTAACTATAAACTATTGATTTATAATGCATTTTGTATCTGAACTAAGTAAATTTTATAATAATAAACATAAAGATATCATGTATCGTGCATCCAATTAAATATCCTAAAAAATTTTATTTTTTAGGTTTCAATTATTATCTATTACAAATTTATTTATAAGTATACTATTATATATTATTTATAAAGGCTATACTTACAATTTATAGAATTAAAAATGTATACAATTTCAATTATTTTTTAATATGTAGGTATATTTTTTTTTAGAAACATTAAAACTAGATCAATTATATAAACATTAAAAACAGCATCTTGCATTTCCTGTTAATTTAATAGGATGATAAAAACCATACATTTTGTGATTGATTTTTTATGTTTTCCAAAATTAAAATTTAAAATTATCGCAAATAAAATGTTACATCAAATCATATATAAATAAAATTATCAAATTAATTTTTGACATTCTGAGCCATAATATATATATATATATATATATATTTCCAATGTCAAAATAATGAATCATAAGTATAATAATAACTATAAAATATATTTTAATTTTATAATTCCTTATTTTTTTTTTAACATTAAGTATATATTTATAGGCTATACTTTAAATTTGAAAATAATAATAAATAAAAATATTTTGGTGATTTCTCATTAATTAATTAAAATATATTTTAATATTATAAGTTTGAATTAATGATAAAAATTTGATTATAACATTAAAAACGCAATTTAACTTATGTAATTTATTAATTACTAAGTCTTTATCCTATAATATGTATAATACTATTATATTATATAGTATAAATATTAATTAAATAAAGCACATATTAGTGTAATTTTGAAGCAAGAAATGAAAACTACTAAATTAGAATTTTTGTTATACGACCTATTTGATAAATGTTATTAAGTAGTAAAGATTTAAGTTAAATTACATTAAAATAAAATGATACACGATATTACTTAAACATAAAAATTGTCGATGCTAAACTGAAATTAATAAAATACCCATTAATTATAATATATTAATCTTCTAATAAGTAATATTGCTAATTTGATCTCTAAAACATTGTTATATTATTTTTCATGTTTAGTAATGGTAACTGACATAATGTGTTCTATATTGACTTTTTTGGTGTTAAGATACTTAAATTTTAAAGTATAAATATGTTCTAAATATATGTGTACAGTTAATAATAATATTTTAATTTCACTAATAATATAAAGCATTATGCATAAAAAATTTTCCTCATGTAAATTAAATGCTAGCATTTATGCTATCTATTTTACATAATGATGTACAAAATTAATAAACATTTCACGAAATAAACCAAAATGATCATTATAAATCATATAATGAATAAAAAATGTACCTATTTACATTTAACGATCCGAATGTTTACTTCACAAATAAAAAGATTCACTAAATAGAAACAACTTACATAGAAATATCTATATTTTACTAAAAAAGTTGGTATTATGTAGAATAAATAATGCCTTGACAATCTATAAACTATAAGTATTATATAGAGTATAAGTATAATATACACACTTTGTCTGGACAGATACTAAAGAACTTTGCTAAAAATACAAGAAAACCACATTTTTTTTAGATTTTTATTTGTCGACAAGTGAACAAAAATAATG